ACACCTAGCCACGCGATTCAATGAACATGGAAGATACAACCAACACTATGCCTTGGGAAACCTTCTTCATCCATACTTTAGAGGTTATAAGTTTTATTTCTTGGTAAAAAAAACATTCTTTAATATTCTTTATTTGTTAAAAGACTAAATTTAACAGTTATTGTTTATGATTTCAGGATATATGCTTAGACATTACGGTATCTTCGAAGAGTTCACCAGAAAAGTCATCAACGATCATCCATCATCGGACGCTGTTTCAATCAGTGAAAAAAATAATCATAAAGCTACACAAGTTAAAATACCAGTTGGTGTGGATGAGTGCGACGATTTACAAAATATAGAGATTGAACAGGGTAATAATAACCACACCATTAGTCAAAATGTACCGGAAATTGAAAGGGAGTTTGAATCTTTCCACGCTATGCCTCGTGTTGAAGAAAAGCATAAAGTTGATGTGCTGAAATGGTGGAAGAAACATGCCTCTACTTTGCCATTGTTAGCACAATTGGCAAGAAATTTGCTCTGCATTCCAGCTGCATCAAGCTGTAGTGAGAGAGTGTTCAGCGCCAGCGGTGGAATTATAAATGATAAAAGACACAGTCTTTCCACTCAGACAGCAAAGCAATTGACTTTGATTAAAGTCAATTATGATCTTATCTGTCCTCACATGACCTTGAAAATTATAAGCGACGCTGAAGAAGCCCTGGACCCCCCAGCATTAACTCCAGTTAGAACACCTCCCAAAAATCCTATTCCTAAAGCAGTTTTTTCAAATAACCAAAAAAGGTTATTGTTCAAAACAAAAAACGTTTCAACAACGCCATTATGTTCTTCTTCTTTACCATCAACACCAACATCTTCAGGAATCAAAAGAAAAACAATGGAAATTCCAGAAGAATCCGAAACAACATCATCCGAAAAAACATCCGAAAGTGACACTCAACAAGTATTAAAATAAAAATGTTTCACTTTTTATTGTGAAATTTTAAAATCGTGAAATATAATTGTCTAAATAAAAACTGATTTTTTGTAAAAATCGCAAATGTGTGCTTAAACTGGTACAATATAAAAGTAAATTACTTTTTTATTATAGCCCTATCTGTCGTAAAAACATTAGTATTTCTCGCAAAACTTAGAAATTTCTTGTTTGTTTGTTTCGTTTTTTACTGTTTTATTTCGGAAAAAGTTTAATCTTATTTCGTTTCGTACCGGTTTTTTCAAAACAAAAAATGTGTCCCGTATTTATCACGAAACCAGAAAATTGTATTTTTTTTCGTACAGTATTTTGCGAAAAAAGATAAAAATTGTTTCGTTTCGTAACAGTTTTATCGAAACTATATTTTTCATCGTTTTGTTTCGTTTCGTCTTGTACCGTTCTGAGACGCAGACCCTTAATTAATATAGCTTCATGTCCCCTCTTCCCACTCTCAACAACCCATTGAAACATTTAGAAACAAAAGAAGACATACAAGCAAACTTAATGGATGAAGTTTATCATTTATTAAAATTAAAAACAATTTTAATTCATAATAATTTTAATAAATAACAAAAAACTCATCTTTTGCCGCTATGCCATTTCTAATATATCTATAGATATATCTAGAATGTGAGTCAAAAATAGCATGGTATATGTTCAAGACTTTCTTAAGATTAACATAATGGCGAATTTTTGCCAACATGCCATTAGATCTACTTAGTTGCATTGCTAATTCTTTAAAGTGGGATAAAAAAGAAAGATTTGAATCAATTTTTATACCAAGATATTTAATTGAGTTAACAGGTTCAGTTTTTTTGCCACTTAATTTAAAGTTCATATGTTTATAGATTTTTTTTATTTGATTTAAAGATAATGAGTTCAGTTTTATTAGAATTTAGAAAAAGTTTGTTGGAGCGAAGCTAGTGAACTAGATTGGCAAGATCATGGTTAATGAGTTAGTTAATTTTTTTAAGGGATTTATTAATTAGCATTAGATTAGGATCAGGAGCATGGTAACAAACAGCAAACTTAATAGATGTATGAAGATCATTAATATAAAGAAGGAAAAGCTGTGGTCCTAATACTGAACCCTGAGAAATACCATTAGAACATTTTACAGGGTAGATTTTGAGACATTAATAGTAACAAATTGTGTTCTATCATTTAAATATGTAGTAAACCATTTAAGGGGTACGCCTCTGGTCCCATAATGTTCTAATTTTTCAACAAAATTGAATGATCTACTGTATCAAACACTTTCTGTAAATTGATAAGTACACCACATACAAAATACCATTGATTGCTTTTCTAATTAGTTATCCTTAGCAGATACTAACTTTGCAATTGAAGATCTCTACGATAAGTAATAAATAATAATCCAAGAACATAAAGTAGAGGACTCAGTGAGAGTGTTGCCATTCACCAATATAGAAATATCACAAATACTGCAATAACTTTTAGCAGTATATAAACTGAAATTTGCTTGCGTTAAAAAGCAAACCCCAAGCTGTCAAAAGAAAGATATTCAAGTTCAGCTGATCAGATCAGATTCAAGTTCAGCTGATCAGATCAGATTCAAGTTCAGCTGGTCAGATCAGATTCAAGTTCAGCTGATCAGATCAGATTCAAGTTCAGCTGATCAGATCAGATTCAAGTTCAGCTGATCAGATCAGATTCAAGTTCAGCTGATCAGATCAGATTTAAGTTCAGCTGATCAGATCAGATTCAAGTTCAGCTGATCAGATCAGATTCAAGTTCAGCTGCTTGTTCTAAGCAATCAAGAAGTGATTACTTTTTTTTCAAGACTGAAATATGCCATCAGTAATTATATTCACTTTACATATAAGATTGTCAGAAAACTAACAATAACCAAGGATGTCGTGATACTCCAGGATGAAAGCAAAGAAACATCTTAATAAATAAGCATATAAATATATAAGTTACCTCTTAATAAATATATAGGTATATATTTACATAAATTACTTCCTAAATATGTAAGTAAAAATATATAAATATGTAAATATATAAGTTACCTTTTAATAAAATATATGTATATAAATATAAAACTTACTTCTTACACAGCAAAAGATTCTAGGTTAACAATATATATATATATATATACATATATATATATATATATATATATATATATATATATATATATATATATATATATATATATATATATATATATATATATATATATATATATATATATATATATATATATATATATACATATATACATTTTATGTAATCAAATAGTCTAATCCTAATAAGAAAACAAAAAATAAAAGACCAAAATACCAACCAAAAAGAGAATGTAAGAGTGCATAACATTTTAGATTGCATGTATTTGGATAATAATGTAAAAACATTATTATCCAAATACATGCAAAGCAGGTAATAAAAACATTATTTTTTAATTAGTAAATTTAATATTAGTAATTAATTTTATTTTTTTTACATTTTTTTATCCTTATTTTTATAACATGATCAATTAAAAAGCTGGAATCTTTTTTTTTTTTAAAAAGTGGAATCTTTTTTTTTAAAAAAAATCATCCTAAAATCACAATCGCTTGTCCAAATTTAAATAAGATTTTATATTAATACGCTTTTTAGGTGAAATGAACATTATAGTTTAACAATATGATCTGTTCTGATTGTTTATTGACAATTATTTATAATTATAAGCTCTTTCTTGGTCGGAATTCCAGTATTTTTTGTGAAAATTGATAGAAATATTGTGTTTTGACAACTATATATAGTTAATATGTGTCAGAACCGATTAGAACTAGGATCAGTAGTAAATTAAGTAACTTTTTAAAAAGATTTTAACTAAATTCATGTTAATACTGATGAGCGGAATTGATCTAAAGACTCCAAAATAGTGTTCTTTAGATTCATTATTACGGGTTGTAAAAAGATTTTTAAAATTATATATAAAAAAAAAAAGTTTCTTTAAATACTATAAAAACCTTAAGCAAAAAAATTATAACATTTAAAGATCTTGTTTGGGCATAATATGCTGACAAAACCATGCTAATTCCAAATTAAAGTATTCAAATATTTTGTAAATTGCCTTAACTACACCGAGTGGTAATATTTTTATTTTTCATTTGTGATTTTATATTTTTATTGGAAAAAATGTAATAGTGTTTAGTTTCAAAACTGCCATGTCCTCAAATGGGTTATTCTATAAGTTTTCTCTGTTTCTTAAAATTCTATGCTTTTTTTATTATTATTTAATCAGATTGTTGACAAGATAGCTTGTGTATTAAAGTCTTCTGTCACAGTTGAATCAGCCAGAGTTAGCTTGACTGAAGACATTGACACACTTTTACATTATGGAATACACAAGTTGGTAGTTCCCCCCCCCCTTCCCCCATGCCATTCAAATACAGGTAAGTATGCATGCATACACAACTCTCAGAATTAGTAAAACTAAAGTGAGTAATAAATTGCTGACCTTAAACTGTTTTAGGTTAGCATCAGATTACAATTGGCAAACATAAAACTATTTTCATAAAGGTTTCACTATAAAAGATAAAAACAAGGTCAGCAAAAAATTGCCTACCTCAGGCACTTTTAAGTTTCAACTTGGTTAGGGTTAGGTACAATAATGTATTGAAATCAATTAATAATTAAATAAGGAATATAATTTTAGATACTATACTGAAGTAATTGCTGCAATTATTCCTAAATGAAAGTTCTAAGAAAAAAAATACTTAAACTGGACATATTGTTAAAAAAAAAAAAAGAAAAAAAATCTAATCTTAAGAATAAAAATTCTTAAAACAAAAAAAAAATTCCTAAAACAAAAAAAAAAATTCTTGTTTTAAGAATAAAAATTCTTGAAACAAGAAAAAATATTCTTACGTGGCGGACATGTTTTTTTTTTCTTGTTTTAAGACTTTTTTTGCTTCTAACAAGAATCTTGGATTTTGATGTGTAATAAATATATAAGAATGTAAATATATAACTTACCTATTAACAAATATATGAGTATATAAATGTATGTTACCTCTTAACAAAAAAGCTGCACCAAGAGTGATAAGAATTACAGAAAACACTTTTAAATAATAAGCTACTTGATCAGGAGAATTGAAGATTCCTAAACAATTTTAATATTACCTTATAAAAATTAACTGAAAATAGAAAAATTTTTATGTGAAACAAACAAGTTTGAAACCTTTCTTGCAGTCAAATTCTAATAATTAGATTTAATGTTTAAAACTATTTTAGGCGTATTATTATACAGATGCAAAAGCAACTAAATAAACTTTCAAAATTTAAATAAACATATTTTAATTGTTTTAAAGATTTGAAAATTAGAGTAAATATAGACTGTAGTCTACATATCTGCTTGAAAAATAATTTGTTTTTGATTTTCTGCTTGAAAAAATAATTTGATTGTCTTTTTGTGCCTTATCATGTTAGAAATTATGCATCAAACATCAAATGTTTGATAAATGTCAAGTTTGTCATCTTGTTTCTTTGTTTAGCGCTCTATTTTGTCAAAGATCATGTCCTTGACGAACTATAATTATATCCACAATTAAGTAGCCTCCTCGTCTGTAGATCTTTCTTGGCCTCAGGAAGGTAAACTTTAATTGAATTAAAAAAAAAATGTTGACATAAAAAAAACTTAGGGTAAAAATACTAAAAATTAGAGCAATATATATTTTTTATGCTTAACCCATATTTAATGGGCCTGGGCTTTATTTCATAAAACATGACCTGGATTAAAAAAAAAAGTTTGTAATTAAATTTAATCATTTGTTATGAGAGAAACTTTTATAGCATAAGAACAAAAAGTGTTAAAATATTTATGTAAATTATTATCAATATTATTATAGTTGCAATATCAGAAAACAAAGCCACTCCAGATAGAATGTAAGACTTTCATGAAGACCATTAGTAACAATCAGGGATGCGAAGTCGGAGTCTATGGAGTCCCTATTTTAGCCTGGAGTCTCTAGAGTCCATAAAAATTTTAGGACTCCGAGACTCTTTTTTTTTTAATATAGTTATTAATAATAATAATAATAATATAAAATACTTATATGCTTAAGAAATACCTGAAGTCTTGCTACAAAACACTGTAAAAGAGCATTTGATCGGAAAGCTCATCTCCTTCCTTACCAATTCAAACCAATACTCAGATTGAGTATCGGTTCAAATGTTACCCCTTGTTAAGAGGCATTACCGGGCTCGAATTTTATGTGCGAAAAGGCCATGTGCCTACGCATTCAGCAGTTTAACGTTAAGAGAAACCTTTCATCTTTTAGAATATTTAATTTTTATTTTGATATCATTGATGTGACGTTTATTCAGAAAATATAATGTTGTAAGTAAAAGCATTTATGATCTAATAGTTTTTTTGTTAAAGAAACTGTTTAATAATTTTTTTTGTTTGTTGGAGAAACTGTTTAATAAATTTTTTTTTTTGTTAAAGAAACTGTTTAATAAATTTTTTTTTGTTAAAGAAACTGTTTAATAAATTTTTTTTTTGTTAAAGAAACTGTTTAATAAATTTTTATTTTGTTAAAATTAATTAAAAAAAATAAAGTGTTTTAACTTTAAAAATTTCATCATATTTAATGTTAAGTTTTATGTTAGTTAATAAACTTTTATTCACAAATAATGTTCATTTTATGTCTAACGATTTTTGTTTATTTATTTATTGTTTTAAAACAATTATTTTTTTTATCCCATTAAGAAAGTACTTATGATTAACTGTTTATTTAAGTATTTTCTCGTCATTAAATTTCGAGACCCAGGGGTGATTTTTGTAAAAAGAGAGGAAGTTAACATTCAACTTACACTTAAATATTTTTTATAAGACATTTGTCACTTTTGAAGGATTCATCCTCTTCATTTTATTCACAAAACAGCCGCTGGCTAGACCTGCAGATAAGCATATGTTTGAAAGCTTAGTTGTTTAACTTTTTCTTAATATTTATAAAATTTAGAAGTAAATTATATTTTAGTGTTGAAGTTGCTTTTATGCATAAGTTTTTTTGTTATCTTTAGTTTTTTAGATGGATCATAGGAAGAAGGTCGATTAGAAATGATTAACTAGACAAATATTTTACCTAAGTCAAGCTCTTTACAAAAAATTGTCGATATATTTTTTTGCTTTGTTTAAGCACTGCTTAAATCTGTAAACTATAGTAGGAAACTATACTTATAAATAAATGAAGCTTGTAAATACTATTAGAAAAAAAATTTCTTTTTATTTCTTTTAATTTCAACCCAAAACGGCGTGACTCTGGAGAAAATAAAAAGTCTACTCCGTTTAGAAAAAAAAAAATTTTATATTAATAATGCCTAATGAAAAATTGCAATGAAAGCAATATGGTTTAGATACAAAAAGTTATAATGTTTCACTAGCAAATTAATTATATGCAATAAAAAAACAAATTTGTCTGTGAGTTTGCGCTATAAAATCAAGCTAACAATCTAGACAGTTGGCAAAAAATGTACCATCTAGGTCAGAAAGAAGCCAAAAAAAGTTTATAAAAATACCTCAACAAATAAATAAAAATTATTTTGCACAGCAATTTCTTTTACAGAAAAACTACTAATGTCATCAGTTCATAACTGGTCATTATAACAGCTTTCCTAACTATGTTTTCGTGGGTTGTTTTACAAAAAATTAATTTTGCAAAGCATATATAACACGAAGAAAATACTTTACATGTTCACAATAACTTGCAACAACGACATTCTTTCTTTATAATAATATTTGCTATTAACTCGCGTGTAACAATCTTGACCAGTAATGGCCGCTAACTATGCCTCAGATACGTTCTACAAACACTTTCATTGTGCAAATAAAATTTTGAATGGATGCAAGGTAGTATGCTTCAAATGTCTTGTACCCGAAAAAAGTAAAAGTAACGAGTTATGTGGTAAAGAAATTACGTGCCACAAAAGCTCGCATTAGGAACCTTATACGACACTTATACAAAACATTGCGGAGCTCCTCATTACGTTAGAAAAACAAAAATTAGAAAAAAAAAATAGAAGAAAAGAATGAGAAGCAAAAATATACAGTCATCAAAGGCAGCACTTCACAGCAATCCATATTAAAGTGTTTTGTACCACAGCAAATTAGTTTGCATATTACAAAAGATGAGTTTTTAGAAGCCTTAAACCAGCTGGTTTTTGGTTAAAGGTTTTTCATTCCAGGTTCAATTTATTTTTTCGTTAGCGATTATTTTTTAATTAAAAAAAAAATCTAAACAAATATGTTTTTTTGGCATTTTTAAATTAATATTTATCATTCTAAAAACAATATCTAGGCATTTGATCGGGAACATATTCAAAAGCTTTGCGCAAAAGTTTCATCTCATTTTGGATTTAAAATGAATAGAGATAATATGAGAATTCAAATTATCGATCTTGCCAAAAAGCATCGTGAACAAACCAAAAACAAATTATGGAAAATTCTAATTTATTTGAAAGTTGATTCTACATCAAGGCATATGCGTCACTACCACAGTATAAATGCCCAATACTTGAACAATAATGAAATTGCTGTGATCAATCTAGGCATTATTGATACGAAGGGAAAACAAACGGTGGAATACACAAAAAAAATTATTGAGAAGTGTTTAGATAAGTTTGGAATCAATAAAACTAATATTTTAGGCCTCAGTGTTGACAAAGCAGCAGTGAGTAACATATTTTGAAATTCACTATATTTTTTTTTAATAAAAAAAATTTTAAGTAATGTGATTAAAGTTATTATTTTCCATAAAATCATTTAAAAAATAAACTATTTTGATAAAATCTTTTGTATACTGCAAGGTATATTCACTAAACTTTAAATTTACTATTGAAACCATATTTAATATCTTTAGGTGAATATAAAGTTAGTTCGCGACTTTGGCATCAGCGCTGTTTAGGAAATTGTAGATGACAAAGACAATTTTTCAGTAGAAACTGATGAATTTGACAAAGATGGTTATTTTAAAGCAGACAATGCGGCACCAGTCTCGGCAAGTGGAGTTGCCAGCAGCATGAATGTTATACCTTTTCAAAGATGTGCACACTTTACAGCTAGTTGTAAATGATGCACTGAAAAAGCCAACAATAAAAAATCTAGTTAACAATGCCAGAGATGTTGTCAAAACTGCAAGAAATTCAAAGACTTCTTCAGGGACCAGACTCCACATCTCATTCCAATTTTAGATCAGGCTACCCGTTGGTCTAGCCAGTTCAATATGATTGAGAGGCTAAATAAGGTAAGTTATAAGTTATAACTTCGAAGTTTTAATCAAAGTGTATAAACCAGTTTTCTAACAGGTATAATATAAATCCAATTATTTCAATGGTAATGACATTGATACTACTTAATAAACTTTAAATGTTAGTTTATGCAAATATTTCATTAGTAATCCTCTTTATTTAAGTAATTAATAACTTTGTAAATATATTTAATGAATTTTTCTGTTCTTCTAGATTCGACCAGTAATTCAAAAACTAAATATGCAAAAAGAGGCTCCTAAAGAATTTAATGTGCGACCATGTTTTTGAGGTATGTGGGAGGAATTGAGAGATGTATTGCATATGGCAGGCGATCTTACTATTCGTCTTCAACGTGAAAATATCACCGCAGGCGAATTTCTTTTTGATTGGAATTCAATTAAGTGTGAACTTGACGGGAAGGACAGTGATATAGCCAAAAACAGCTACTGAAGACAAGGTTGTTTTTTTAACAAAATTTTATTTATATATATTTATTTATTAAATTTAATAAAATTCATATTCCAAAAAATATAAATACTTCTATAGATAACTGCAGCTGATGGACTTTGGAAAATACATTAAAAAACTTATACAACTCGCTAATGAAAATAAGAATAATGAACTCAATAAAACCAAAAAAGCAGTAGAGCGCAACTCTTTTGCAGTTTATGTGTCAGACTCTAGTTCAGAAAATGAGGAGAATGCTTCACCAGTTGCAAAGCGTCGACCAAAAAGTTGTGTGAACAGGAGGTTCAAGAAAATTCTTCAGAAGAACAAATGCAGGTTCAACTAGATGTAATCGAAAAGGAGTTTCAACTAGCTCTAAAAACAATTCCAGAAATCCGCTCAATGTTTAAAGACAAATCATTCAACTTAAACGAGTTTTAAAACTTAACCCATTAAAATCAATTGAGCAGTTCGCTGAAGTTCAGGCCTTGTTTTAAATAAAAAAGTGCTTAATGCATTAGCTTAACGCGATTTTGACGTCATAAAATTATCTTTATTTTTTTTTATAGACATTAAGTGTTTTAACTACCACAATAAATAAATAACCGCAAACTAGTTCAATATAACAATTAGCTCAAATATAAACTATAAACGTTTTAAATATAAATTTATTATGAAAATTTTGTAATGTTTTCCATTGTTATTTTTTTATTAATTTTAGTTCAATATTATTTAGTAAAATATATATATATATATATATATATATGTATATATATAAATTATTTCTGAAATTTGTTTTTGAATAATTGTTTTTAATCGTTATTGAATAAAAAATAATAATGATTTTTTTATTTTTTAAAATTTCTAGAGTAAACAAAAAAAATTAACATTGATAAACACAAACCCATGTTAATTATTTAAACAACGATTTTGTTTTGACTAGCAAACAAAAATTTGAGTTTTTAAATATTTTTTAAATTAATAAAAGCGTTTCAACTTGCGTTTTATAAAAATATAAAAAAGCTTTGTCTGCTTTGAGCATATTTTTGATACGTAGTTTAGAACACGCTCGCTAGAAATTTAATTCATAAATTTTTTATGTTATTGTAAAAACATTTAACTTTTTAAACATATCACAAAGAAACAGAAAAATCGTTTTCAACGATTAAATCTTTTTTATTTTATTTTAGTAAATTAAAAAAAATTAAATTAAATATAAAAGACTTAATTATGCAAACTCTTTTGTTAATTATTCTTAAACCAAAAAAACAAATACTATTACGCCAAACTTTTATCGTGCAAACTTAAAAAATACTCAACTGAAATAATTTAAGTATATTTAATAATTTGAATCGTATCTGTTTATAATAAACTTTCGTAAAAAATTTTGTTTATTAAAAATTAAGTTCCTTAACTTATAAACAAACTCAAAAGTATTTTCATTCTCGTATAATTACAAAACTCTTTTTTTTTTTTCGTTTGTAAGCAGTTTAACTTAATAAAATAAAAAAAAAGAATAAATATGAGGTAATCTTTGTTAAGAATAAATTTAATTTATTTATTGAACTATATTTTTATTTTTAATTATATATCAACTTAATTAAAATATAGTAACATGTTAAAATATTTTAACATGACTTGTATTATTTATAAACCGTTGGGCAATTGCCCTTACGGCACTATTGTTTTTGGATATTATTTTATTTTGATGAAGAATCACATAACTTACATTTGATTTTAATAACGTAAGTCTTCTCTTTTTCTTTAATCATCGCATCGGCAAAGCATCGGCAAAGTCCCAAGATTTAAAAGTTTTTAAAGTAAATCTTTTGTCCTTCAAAATACAATCCATATTCGAACTTTAAACAATTTAGAGATAATAGAAATATACAAGGTTTTTATATACTAGTTTGTTTTTTTTTTATAAAGAAAAATACACATTCATTAGTAAAAAATGGAGACTGTCATTAAACTAAAACGTGCCTTAGTATTTATTGAACGGAACCTGTAATGTGCGCGTGCATAATAAAACCTCCGTTATATAAATATATTCAACGTAATATTAGTGTCATCAGCGGATGTTGTAGTCTACTCATGATTTCTTTACCTTATAATATAACTTGATTTATAAAAAAAATAACTTATTGAATTGCACACAGAAGAAATTTAACAAATTGTCTTCATTCAAATATTGCGAGTAACAGGTAATTTTTTTTTTCTGTGCCGACCCCCTCCCCCGCATAACTTAATGGTAAATGTATCTATATACCTTTAACTAATAAGAAAAACAAAGACATTTTTTTTAATATCTCGAAAAAATGTCTTGATATTTTTGTCATCATGATAACAAAAATATTATGACATTTTTTGAGATATTCAAAAAAATGTCAATTCTTAATTACAAATTTTTTTTCAAATGTTTTTTATTATAAATTCAGTAAAAAATTCTTAAAAAATCTATATTACAAAAAACATTTATATTCTGAATTAATAAATATGGAATATAGATTTTTTTAAAGTTTTTTACTAAAAACTTTAAAAAATTACTACTTTTTATTAAAAAACATTGCAAAAAATTTGTAGTTAAGGATTGACAAACAATTTTTCATGTTGCTAAATATTTGGTTTAGCGTCAAATTAATTGCTATAAAAAGGAAAGATATATCGCGATGAAAAGTTACAACAATTATTTTTAAATTAAATTCTTTTTTTTAATAAATATCTTTACATACCGTTATTTAAAAGTTAATGTGGTTTTTTTGAAAATTAATTACTTCTTTTATGTTACCGCTAATTTAAAAGTTAAAAAATGATAAAAAGTAGCTTAACCAAAACAGCTCTACGCGTACGTAAAAAGCGCTTAAGGCGTACGTAAATCGCTCTAGGCGTAACGCTTTAAAACAAGGCCTGAAGTTGTATGGGATGCCTGCCGTGTCGCTTTATCGCTACCCATATCCCAAGTCAGTGTCGAGCGTCCGTTTTCAATCTAAGAGCACATGACACCAGATGATCGTATTCGATTTACATCTGATTTAATTGATGATATGCTTTTTTTACGAACAAACTAGTTTTTTTATTTGAACATTTTTTGATGATATAAATATTGTAATATTTTGTCCTTGTAACTTTATAATTTAGCGTGTAATTAATGCAAATAAGCAATTGAATCTTTTTATAATTTTATGATCATGTGGATTTAAATAATCTGAAAAATCTGTGCTTGCGACAATACAAATCAAATAAAAATTATTGGAGTTGTATTGTTCTTATAAATTCTTACGATCTAGCAAAAGTGGAACAAATTAACTTTTGGATTTAAGCAGCTGTGGCGCAGTGGTAGCGCACTTAAAAAATTAAGGATCTGTGGTTCAAACCCACCTTTGGTTTTGTGACATCGGTTAGGAAGTAGGAGTGAATTTTGTAAGGACTTCTTAGGTTACATAAAATAAACATGTATATAATTCATAAGAGAATATATTATAGGTACCCTCTCATTTTTCTGGAATTTTCGCGTAAAAGTTCCAGATAATAATAACCCCATATTTAAATGAAGAAAAAAAAAATTATTCCGGAGTCCGGAGTCAGAGTCCATGGAGTCCATGATTTTTGAGCTCGGAGTCCGGAGTCCCAGAGTCCCCAAAAATCGATGGAACTTCGCATCCCTGGTAACAATAGTATTAACTTAAATCATGAATATGTAATATATTACATACCATTTTGATAAAGATAATACACAACTATTGGTGAACAGTAATAAGTGGCAGCTAATGCATATGAAACCTAAAGTAAAATATTTAAAAACAATATTTATAAAGTAAAAAAATGTTTGCAAACTAATTATTAATAAAATAAATTTGTGCATTAAATTTTAATCTCTTACAGTATTGATAAATGATTCCCCTATCCATTCTGATGTATTTAACAGGTATTCTTTTTCCTAAAATCAAAGTAATTTACTTTACTTTTTTAAAAAATAACATTATTATATATTTATATAATATATAAATATACATTATATAAATACAATATATAAAGCTAAAATATTAAGGTATTGTATCAGTTAGCAGTTTTTGAAGAACACGGGGTGAGCTCACACTAAAGTATAAGTTTTTGAAGAACGCGAGGTGAGCTCACACAAAAGTGTAAGTGGCATCTTAATATTGAGAAAATTACTTGAAAAACACCACCAAAGCACTCATTCTATTTAAATATTTCAGGTTTTAAAAAAAAAAAAACTTTTAACCGGATTTTAATTTTAGTATGCTTGACTGTTTCATACATTTATACACTCTTTTACCAGTATACCAACCAAGGCTAATGTTTTTAAAATGTGTCTATATGTAAGAATGGTACATCAGTTTGTATAATTATTAAAACACAAGCTTCAAGTATTATATCTGTTTGGGAAAAAGCTGGTATACCAACAATTGCCTTAAAAAGTGTTCTCATCTAACTATCCATATTGCTAAAGACTTCTTAAAATATTTGAATGATGAAAAAATATAAGCCACATACAAATGTTCCACACAGTCTTTTGAGAAATTGTTTGAATTATGTAAATTGTAAATGCTTTGATAACAAAAACAGAGATCCTAAACAATGTCAATGTTATGGCAAAGTTTGATTATTAGCATGGAATTTACATAGAAGTTACAAATAAAATTTAACAGAAAGTCTAAAGAAGTTAAAAATAGTATAACTACAGCATCAGCTACAACTCTGATGATTTTAGTTCTTTTCAATGAGAAATTAATGGAAAATTTGAAACAAGAGAAGTATTTTTATGATACTTCTCTACTCTTTGTTATGAAAAAAAGTAATGAATTTTAAAAAAGAAAATCATAATTCTATTGTTGCATCTATATATTGATCATGTTGCTCCTCAATTAGCAAAGGTTATTGATGTTTCACAAGAAATAATTTGTTTTAAAAGATAGAAATTTTATAGAATCTATGCAACCTTTAGCAGCAGATAATTCAAATATATATAAAGGTGTTAGAAATGTAATCATTTAAAAAAATAAAACAACAATCGCTAAACTACTGCAGTAGCTGTTTACTAGGAATGAAAATTTCATGGAAATTTATAACATTTAAAATTTAGCAGAACATTTGGCAAATTTAAAAAAAAGATAAGTTATCTTATATTAATAGGTAAAATTTAATGACTTATTTAGCCAATTGTTATGGACAATTTTATGGTAAAAGATTGTAAAATGAATTATAAAATTTTTAGAAAGCTTCTTTAAAAAACACTTTTTTTGGTATTTTGCTGAGTCATGTTCCACACAGTCTTTTGAGAAATTGTTTAAATTACTTGCAAAGGTATTTTGCTAAGTCATGTTCCACACAGTCTTTTAAGAAATTGTTTAAAACTTGCAAAGGTATTTTGTTGAGTTATTGTAACTATAAGTAACAATTGTAATAACTTTTTTTCAAAATTTTCTAAAATTATTTTATCCTGTTATTTGGTTATTAAAGATTGTCATAGTTTAGTTTAAAAACATAATTTGCACTTTAGTTTAGTTACAAGTTAAAACAAATGGTTAATAGCAAAGAGGGATAAAAAAGATTTTTTAATAAAAAACAGTTATTTTATTATTGGCTAGATGAAAATAATTGCCTATTAAAAAATAAAAAGCGAGATCAGAAAATGAAAAATTATTTGTCAAACAAAAAAAACTAGAAATACAATCAAAGTTTAGAAAAAAAAATAGGTTTAATTGTAGACGTACCG